AATTTCTTCACTATTACACAAACACTATGAATTACTATAGTTTTTTACTTAAATGTCTTTATTAAGTTCGAGAAATAAATGAACACGAATAATTTAATCGAAAAAATTATTCGACAAATACGTATTCGCTGCAGGCGGGGTGTGACATTAGTGTCAAGGTCTCGTAGCGCGGTCTACGATGTAGACGTCCGAGCCGTAGCCGGGCTCGCGTACGACAGCCCGCGTTGCTACGAACTACGAGGGGATCCGTAGCCAATCGAAGTGAGGCTGCGCAGCTTCAAGTATGCTCTACACGTTACAAAAAAAAAGTTAAGTGCATAGACTTACAACCGATTTATTTTTAAACAACAAAATTTTAAGCTTCTTAATTTTAGCTACAATATTAAGTATACACAAGACATAAAAATACAGAATAATAAATACGAATTAAAAGAATAAAATCGCAATTATTTAGTTGCAAATGATAAAGGAAATAAAAAAATAACATATAACATAGCTTTATACAACAGATACAAAGATAAAAGAGATATACATCTCAAGTTAGGCAATTCCACTCGCGCTTTAAAGAGAAAGCTTTAGCTTGATTTCTTTGAAGTAAAAAGGATGCGGGTTTGTGGACTGACAAGGTTCTATCCGTGAATTTAAAATAACATATCTTTTTTTTAATTGATTTTGCACTTTTGACAAAGGTCACATTATCAAGAAATGTATTCTGTTATGTTCTACGTTCTTTTTAGTTGAGTAATTACAAATTACTGTTTATCAATAATACGAACAAATATCTTTAGGTAATATGTCTAAAATTGTCAATTACTTTAAAAGCTCTATGATAAATTCAGCTTTTAAAGAATAAATAAATAAACGATTTCTTACAAAAATAAAAAGTATAGTAAAAAGAAAATGTAATATCAAAACGAACGTAGTTAAAAGTATGAGCTGTAAGCAAAAAAACGTCAAAATAAAAATCAATAATCCCCGAGGGCTACAGCGGCTTTAGTGTTAGCCTGTCAGACCCTTCACTTGTACGATGAACTGAATTAGAGGGGCTGTCAATTCGTTACATTGGCAAATGTACAATTTTATGTCAGTAAAGTTTGGAATATACAAAAATGCTTCCATGTCTTAGTCATGATTTAATCATCGTATAGATATTTAATTTTACCTTTTTTTATATGCCATCTGAAAAACGGGACAGTTTAGTCTGTCCTTGCTTAGTTGAACTTCCTTCTGCAGTTGTAATTTTTCTTTCTTTCTAATCATTTTCAAATAGAATATATTTTTTGTTTTGGTATGACTTTATTGTAGAAGACAAATACCAAGCAATAAAACCGACTATAACTCCATAACCACTGCGTAAGAATACGAGTCAATTGACGTACGAATATCACAATGTAAACTGAAGTATATACATATAATAAATAATTATTTATCTGTATGTACCTCTAAGCTTTCGTTTGAAAATATAAATGTAACCCCATGACACGCACGCATGCATTTTTCACCCTCAAGTATATACTTACATACTTCGTCAAAATGTTTTGCTTTCATGTAGAATTGTAGGGGGAGCGTCGGTGGCTCAGTGGTCAAGCACTTGACTTGCAATCTGCAAGTCCTGGGTTCGAATCCCGCCATGTACCAATGTGTTTTTCGATTTTCCGATTTACATATGTACATTTATCCGACGTTCTTACGGTGAAGGAAAACATCGTGATGCAACCTGCACATATCTGAAAAGTAATGTAAAGATATGTGTGAAGTCAACCAACCCGCACTTGACCAGCGTGGTTGACTATGGCCTAATCACCCTTAACTTAGGGTAGGCTCCGAGCCCCTCGGTGGGGACGTATAGTGAGCTGATGATGATGAGAATTGTAGTCTATATTTTTCCTGTGAATATTGTGGCACCCCTAAAATTCTAGCTATATAAACATTTGTAGGTAAATAACGTAACTATCTTTGACATTTTTCTTAGATCAAGTCATCATGTCAATACAAACTCTCTACTGACCAATCTAGCTTTAGATAATCAAATTAAATTGGGTCATGTTCTATAAAGTAAGAAATAATTCGTAAGATATTTGTTTGGCACAAATCGTTGCTCTATTAATACGCGTCTACAGAACACGTAAACAAAGTAAAAGGCACTATTATTGATGAAAGAAATATAAAGAAACTTAGACTTAAATGAATTGATTAGAAATAATTTCTACTATTCTAATATAGTTAGAAACCAGTTAAGAGACGCCATGGAGTTGGAACTCCGTGAGTTACACGCAATTGACTGGCAGGAGACAGAGCGGAACTGGCGGCCCTTGCGATCTCATGTCGGATGCCAAAACTCACTTCAAGTCGCTGCACCAGCGGAGTAAATTATAAAATGAATATTTAATGTGGTATATTTTAATTAAACTTCACATTTTCTCTTTTTATTTACAACGAACACGAGTGAATTATAATATTTAAAAAATCGATAATTCATTTTTTCACGATGAATAAAAAGAACAGTGGATTTGAAAATGTAAATGGAAGGCTTAATCAAATCGACTTGCTCGACGTTTCAGTGCGTTCGACCGCTTTACAATTCTGTTGGTGCATTGTAAAATCAACCTTATGTGTTTAGAATAAGGGTACTCATTGCCGCTAATACTAATATTTGTTTATTCTAGAACAATAGCCCACTGGAGCATTGTGAACACAATGTTAATGGTAATACGAAGGGCGCGATGTTTTAACCCCAACTACTAGCATAGAATTATGCAAATATGTAATCAAACAGTATTCTAATAGCGGAGTGCGCTGGGAATGTTTGTATAAGGGAAAAGATATGACGGCGCGAAGAGGGTTAAAGTAAGAAAATGTTTGAACATAAAATTAAGTGCACTTTGAACATGTTTAAATAAATGTTTCTTTTACCTTTAAGTTACAATTACTTAGTTGATATATTTTTTAACTTAATCATAAGATAAGATTTAAATACTTTAAACTTATTAGAACAGTATATTTTAATGTGAAAATATCTTTTAAATATTTATGAAACTATTGAACATTTTATACTCAAAGAAAAGTACATTCATGAACAGCATAATTCCATGTAATTGCAAAATCAATAGGAAATGTCAACCCCACACTTTAGGACTTTTAAAACATGGAAATATAGATCTAAAAGTGACGAGAATAAGGGTTCCGTTGTTTTGCTATGAGTTACGGAACCCTAAAAATCGAATTTTTGATTGCGTGCAAAACAATTTTCTACATAGAATAAATTAAATTACGTTAATCCTTATTTACTTCAGAATAAGGTATTTCTCTACCAATTATCTTACTAATATCCATGCAAATATTTAGATGGATGGATGGATGTTTGTTTGAAGGTATCTTCAGACGGCTGAACGGATCCGATTGAAATTTAACATAGACGTAGAACATAGTCTGAAAGAATATAATGAATACTTACTAATTAGTTTTTTTTTATTCCCCGTGGACGGAGTCGCGGGAGATAGCTAGTCATTAAATAGAATACATAATAATCTGGCAATATTTAAAGTGAATAGAAACTATATTTTTTTTACTTTATATCAAAAATCTCATTCTAGTTGTGTTATAAAAAATAAATTCCTCAACCATTCTATTGACTTTAGTTCACTGAGTAAACTCTTCAAAGGGGTTGTATGTAATTAAAATTCAGTTGAGCGGTGGTTGCGTTCGCGGCATATAAATCAGAGACACGCGGGGGTTGTTCTGGCGTTCTCAATCAATTTCACGTTGCTAAAGAATTTCCGTCGCCTGGGGCAGAATAGAACGATGTTTTTATAGAAAAAAAAATGTAGTTATAAATTGCAGGAGCAAAATTTATAACGAAATAAACAAATAATATATTTCAGTAGTAAGTTATGTCATGGATAAGGAATACATAGAGTAGGTTTTGTATTTTATTTATTCCATAGATATAATTAAATGTTTTTTTTATTAATTATTGTAGTAAAAATTGAATTAGCTGACAGTCCTTTACTAAAAATATTGTTGCTTAATTCTACAGAAATATGAAACAATTGAAACGTCAATATTATTCATCTTTGTCCTGTTCATTGTTTGATGTTCCGAAATATTTTTGATACAGGTCATTGAACTGTCCATACATTTCTTCTACATTTACACCTGGATTCGTATCTGTACTCGAGTACTTGTGACCACAATAGCACACGTGATCCTTACCACAAAACGCTGGTTTTCCTTCCTTCATACATTTTCTTATACATTGTCTCGCTACTTCTAAATTGGGACAGAAATGTGCAATATGGTGACGTAGAGATGGACGTAAGGAAAACATCATTGGATCTTTTATATTTGATTTATCTAAATATTCAATATCTGTATCAACTGAAAAATTAAAATATAAAAGGATTACAGTAATCTTACTAATAATATAAATGCCACAGTTTATGGATGTTTCGTCATCTCCAGAACGGCCAAATTAATCTCGTTCAAATTATGCATAGATGTAAGACATAATCTGGAAGGACACATAGGCTGTCTCATATATCTCATAACTCCAAAGAGATTGGTCACCGCAATCTCGATTATAGATTACTCTACGTTACAGGGTTCGCCGCGAATAGGCTGGGAGTGGAGTTGGTGAAGATAGGCTAAGTGACGATTCTTGACTACATTGGTCATGCGTTGTGCATCATCCACCCATGAACCCCTTATTCACATATCTTAGTTTAAATAAATACAAACTAAGAGATCCCAAAATAATTCAATGGTATGACTCTATAACTGTTGGAATTATAGCATTAATTTATCATAGTAAGCAAAGTTAGTGTTTAATTTACCTTTATCTCTAGCATCGTCAAAGTCATGAGGTAGAGTTATCTTTTTTAAGGGTCCGTTAGGCTTTGCTAAGTAGATCACTTGAGAACCATCTGAAAGGTAATAATAAAATTATCATTCTAAAACACAGACCATGATTTTATCAATTCTAAAAAAAGTAACCTTTTTAGGCAAGACGGAAGTCTAAAACTTGAAGCCATTAAATACTTTAAAATAAAATAGTCCTGAATGGATGGATGTTTGTTAGAAGGTATCTCCGGGAGAGCTCAACGAATCTTGACGATATTTGGCATAGACGTAGAATATAGTCTAGAACACATAGGCTACTAATTATGTTTTTTTATTATGCGCTGATGGAGTCGCGAGCTACCACTAGTTCAAAATAAATCTCTAGCTCTGGCCAGAATAAATTCTTCTACATATAATATAATTAAAATTAATAAAATAATTACCAATTGTGTTCATATTCTGTACATAATATACACAGTAACATTGGGTTTTAACACATAAACTCGACTTGACGCCGCACTTTATTTTACAGAAAACTTCATGTAATTCACTGTAACATTTCTTATTCTTTTCTGTACGTAATGATGAGCCATAAAAGTAGTCACTATCAACTGCAACAATAATAAAATCAATTTGGCACAAACATTTCTTTCTAAGCACCAATTTCTCAATAATTTTGGAAAATTAATTATCTTTTCTTATTCATTTTTAACTGAAATTAATTATATTATTAATGATAAGCATACCTCCTAAAATACAGGGTAAAACAGCGAAGAAAAATAAAATTGAACATTGTTTTCTATTTAACATTTTTTTTTCAGTTCTCAAATGATTTACGTAAACAACCACCTTATTTCAGTATTAATTAACTACTTCAAATTAATTTCCAACTGAGTAAGAAGTGAGCAATTATTTCAATTATAAATTTTACGGAAAATTATCCACGCTTTACGTAATTATTGTATCAAAAAAGTCAATTATTATGTCATGTTAGGTTCGTATAAAGTGATAGATTAAATTTTATTTTACAAAACCACGTTACTTTGCTAAACTTACCTTTGCTTACAACAAAAAACTATAACAGTAGTTATTTCTCAGAGCATTAATTAAAAAAAACATACATAAGAATTGAGTACCTCCTCCTTTTTGAAGTCGGTTAAGAACCAACGTCAAAATAACTTCAAACTTTTCATTACTCAAAAGTTTACAATATAATACAATATTCATTGGTAATGTTTAAATGAAAGGTCAAAGAGCGATTTACAAAACAAAATCACTGAAAAAATTCTTCATACGAATATACAGAGCCTTCTCGACAAACACTCATTTCAATCTATTTTTGAATGATGTGTGGATGTGTGCCGCTGTGAACTCCGGCAGCCGATTGTACACTGCAGGCCCTCATGACGTGCGTGGATTTCTTCGTCCTGGCTAATCGGTGTGCCGCCGGAGCCAGCATGTTTGCGCCGCGCCTTTTTTATATCATAAGGTGGCAAACGAGCGACCGTTGCTCATAGACATACGCAATTGCATAAGCGTTGCCTACCTTTAATCGACGAAGGAGGACTCATTCGAAAAGTCCACTTCCACTTCCCATCCTTTCCTTATAAGAAAAAGGGTGGGAAGAGAGATAATTAAGCCTTCGGGACGCACACTCATCAGACGAAACGCGGAAATGCTTCCAATTCACGACTGTCTTCTTGTATTAGTTAACTCCAAAAAAATGTTTATAATACATCAAAAATACATAAATAATGCCAAGAGTAACTTTGAAAGTAAAATACATACAAACAAGATTCATTTTTCTTTAAATAACTATTCAGAGACTGTATATAAAATAAAACTTTACATTTTCCTAATGAACTCCACCTGTAAATGGTAACAAAACTTTTGAATAGTTCACTAAGTTGAGCATTAACGTTCTTCGAACTCTTTTAATGAGCAAAGAAAACTTTTAACGGCTTAAGTAGAGTAACTTTATTTACCAGTCCATAGATGTTAGCTATAAATTGATCTTGCAAAAGTAACCCTGTCTGTCTGTCCTTCTTTCAGGTAAAAACTACTGGACCGAATTAAATGAAATTTAGTACAAAGACAGTCTAGAAGGGTTGTAAAGAACAGTTACTTCAATATTACACCCAGTCCTATTTTAATTATATGTATATATATCATCATCATCTTCATCAGCTCACTACACGTCCCCACCGAGGGGCTCGGAGTCTACCCTAAGTTAAGGGTGATTAGGCCATAGTCAACCACGCTGGCCTAGTGCGGGTACCAACCCGCACTAGGCCAGCGTGGTTGACTATATATGATTGATATATGTGGTTGATATATATGTGTGAAGACAACCATGTCTTCACACATATCTTTGAATTTCTTCGCAGATGTATGCAAGCAAAGCATATTACGATATATTTTCTGTACAAATATTCAAGTGACTGCACTTGCAGATATAATATATATATCTATGACGTCACCAACTTATACCGTAGTTACGCTTTATCGCAAATCGCATCTTAATATGCAAACGCTAGGTTGACCATAATGGTAACAGAACAGAACAGAACAGAACTTCTATTCTGTTCTTAGTTCATAAAACAAAAAAACATTTAGTATCCTCGTTTGCCGCCTTTTTATGAATTATTGGGAAATACCTAAGTTTGTTATTTATCTGCTTAGTGACAAGATTATGCTCACATAAATATTATTAAGGATAAAGTTCAGATATTGCTTACAAATAATTTGTATCAGATTATTAATCCTAATAAATAAAGGAAAGGTATAATTACGCGCTAATTAGTTCGTGACAAGGGAAAGTAGGCGTTAGTTGAACTCCCTTTTATTCTTAGAAATATTCTTGTAGCGGCTTTTGTATTTTTCTTTGAGCCATAATTAGGAAGAGAATTTGAGTAGTGTTTTGTTTTATACGATAATAATAGGACAAAGATTTACTTATAATGAAATGCTTTATAATATTCATTTTCACCTGAATGTATTAGTTGTCGCCCGTGACTGCGTCCGCGCGGAATTAGAACAAGAAATAGTAGCATATGTGTTCTTCCATACTGCCTTCTACATCAATGCCGAATTTCAGTGGGATCCATGAAGTCGTTCTGGTAATATCTTCTAATAAACATACATCCATCCATCCGAACATTCGCATTTACATATAATATTAGTAAGGCAAAGATTTATAAAATGGTAAGAAGTAAGATTTTCTATTCTAATAAATCTTGCATAAACATTTTATAATTATGTTAAAAAAATTGGGTAACTGAATGTAAATAAATATTCCCGTTGCAGTATCCCGCAAGTCCAGGATGTCAGGATTCATTGAATTTAGGATATTAAAAAAAACACATATTTTAAATAAATACGTTTATGTAGAAACAAACGATGTCCAAATATTTAGAGAACGTAAGGCTTCCTTGTCGCGACGTATTCTTTGACTCCCGGAAGAGTAAATATTTTCTTCATGAGAGTGTCCACGGCGGGATATTTCTTTTCAATATTCACGCCAAGGAACAAGTTCGTAGCCTCAACAATGCCGATCAACACGAAGTCAACCCAAGTTAACTGTAAATTAAAGAAAAATTTTAACAGTGGTAGAGCCCGCTTTAACATCTGCGCACGAATTGGCTCGGCTCGCCCGGTGAAATACCACGACCATACAGAAGACAGGCGTGAAGTGGAAGCAATTCCGCGTCTCGTCTGATGAGTGTGCGTGCCGGAAGCCTAATTTAGTCCTCTTTCCCTTCTCACCCTTTTTCTTATTAGGAAAGGATGGGAAGTGAAAAAAGAAAGGGAAAATATTTTCTTTCTGCGCATCCTCTCTTCCGACGATTAAAGGTAGGCAACGTATACGCAATTGCGTATGTAAATGGGCAACAGTCACTTCGCTATTTCAGCGATTTTACCTTGCAGCTGGCTCGTTTGCCACCTTATCATATAAAAAAAATTAAATTACAGTTTGCCAAAGAGGACACTCACTGCTGTAAATTCGTATTTAATAATTTCCATAGAATAGATTATTAACGAACGTTCAAGCCTTTTATCCGTTAAGGCTCTCTTTTGTTTTGATCATCTTTTCTTATCCTTTAAAGATTGATATCTTACCTTTCCGTGGAAGTATCCCTTGTTATCCTTCAGATGCTTCTCAAATCTGGTGAAGTAGAAGTCAATAGTTTCTTCTAATAATTCCCTTTTCATTTCAAGCTTCCTTTTAGGATCTTGTTCCTTGAAGTATGCTACAACCTCTGAAATATAATGATTATAAGTTAGCAATCTGCTTCAAAGGTGTAGAATATTTAGTCCGGATTTATTTTTATTTTTAAGTACCGGTCTCTACAAATGGCAGCTATATTTTAGCTAATTGTTTGGATGGATTTTATTGCTACGACTCCAGACGGACTTAGTGGATTTCAATGAAATTTGGCATAGATTTAGAACATAGCCTGGAAGAACACATATGCTGCCTATGATCTCGAAAATGTATACAGTTCTAATGGGATACATTTGATTCAAATACTCGATAAATCTGGAACGGTTTGACATATTTTATTGAAATTTGGAACAGGTATATAAGACGAAGGCGCAGGCAAAAGCTAGTGCGTAATACGTTTACGCAGAAGCATTGAATAGATTATTTTAAAAGTTATGATGTATCATATAATCACACTTACTTGCCCAAAAGTCGTAAATGGTGAATACAATGCTGTCCAGTACAGCCTGGTCCCATGGGTCAGTGGGGACCAAGTTCACTTTGTGAGCAATGTAGCGGGCAATAGCCAACGACTGCGTCAGCTTCATAGTACCCTCCTCGTACAAAGGTAGCTGGCCGAATGGCAGTACTGTATTGAAAAAAAATAATAAGAAATAGTGTCAAAGTAAATAAATTTATACATTTTGTCAAAATTTAAATATAAAAAGTACATTTCGTTTAAAACAAAAAAAAAGTTTTTATTTCGGGTAATCTCCGAAAGGATTGCATTGATTTTGACAGGACTGTCACGCGGTCATATTAAATGCTACCTTTATTGGTTTTTATTCTACGCTAACGAAGTCGTAGGCGACCGTTAGTACAGAACAGTCATTTAATATTTAAGTATTACCTTAGCATAGATTTCTGAGAATAAATCCACACTATGGACATTAGTGACAATTAGATGATTCTGCAACAGTTTCTTTTACTAATTTTTTATTAAATTAATAATTAATTAATTTTGTGTCATAAGTTAAAATTGAATAAAAATTAAACTTACCATCTTTGATGTTGTTATCAGGCCACGTCTTCACTTCGTACCTAATATCTTCGAACTTTTGACCTCCGTAATGAAGCAAATATCTGATAGACTCCGCAATTCCATTCAGATCGAAATAATGTAATTTCTTAGCCATGTTTCTTGTCGCAAGTTACCGGAGCGAAATAAAATCGAAATTAAACGATGGCATATTTATAGTGTTTAGTGAGATTTTATCAGAAGACTAAAAGTGAAATGTTTATATTAAATTATAGATTTATTTTTTTCAGAGTTGTTTTTTTAACTGATATTTTGAATAATAACGTAATTATTTACAAATACAAAGGTCAAGTTCGGTTTAATACAGATAATGATTTATCATTTCACCTATTAATTAAAGACCATTTTGTTGACAATATAGAATATATTACGAAATAATTGTGTCTACGTTAAGGTAAATATAAAAAGACTAGCTGTCACCCGCGACCCCGTCCGCGGGGAATTAAAAACTAACTCAAAAAGTAACCTACGTCTTCCAGACTGTTCTACTTGTGTGCTAATTTTCATCAAAACCGTTGACTTCCAAATAAACATCCATCCTACCATCTAAACATTCGCATTTATAATATTAGTAAGACTAACTGTATCCCGCGATTCCATCTGAACGGAATTAAAAACAAATTTAATAAGTAGCCTATGTGTTCTTCCAGACTCTGTTCTACATGTATGCCTAATTTCATCAAAACCTGTCAAGCCGTTACGGAGATACCTTCAAACAAACATCCATCCGAGTTTATAATATTAGTAACGACACTATACGCGCATAGAAATGTTTACAACTTTGTTCTAATGCTTTTTACGACTTTAAATCAATAATATAAGCTTCTTTTAATATTGAAAATTAGATTTTACTGTACGTATTTAGTTGTTTGTCTTATTTCAGCGTACTCAGTACCCTTGTAACCTTGATAACACAAATTAATCGAAATGTCTGGAAAGTTATAGATTTGGTATTTATTAATTAATCGTTGAAGTACAAGTAACAATACCAATAAGTAATTTTAAGTTAATTTAAGTTATAAAATAATGAAATATAAATTGTTAATAAATCTTTTAACTAAATTCATAAACAGTGTTAAGAAATGAAAGAAAAAACCGTAAAAAAAATTGAGGCGAAAAATAGTAGACTGAAGTCAAATAATGCTATCTCCCGTTTACTTATTTTTTTTAAGTTACACAGTTACATAACTTAGTTAATCTTATGGTAATTTTATAGTATGTAAGCTATTTATCAGGTTTTCTTAGGTTTAGAATTAAAAACCTGTTCATATCATCATCATCAACCTACCCTTATCCTTACGGAGGGCCGGCACAGTATGTACTCCTCCATACATCTCTATCAGCCATCGTATCTGAATTCCCTACTTACGCATATCCTCTTTCCCACAATCCATCTTTCTTTTGCCTTCCTTTAGCTTTGTAGCAATATTCAATCTCATTATTTATAATTTACGCATACGACAATAACATATAGGTAGTTTACACAGAAGACAGGCGTGAAGTGGAAGCAATTCCGCGTTTCGTCTGATAAGTGTGCGTCGCGGAGGCCTAATTTAGTCCTCTTTCCCTTCCCACCTTTTATCTTATAAGGAAAGGATGGGAAGTGGAAGTGGACTTTCCGGATGAGAGGATGGGAATATATTTTCTTTCTGTGCATCCTCTCCTCCGTCACTTTCCTATATCGGCGATTTCTGGTGGCCGCTCGCTCGTTTGCCACCTTATGATATAAAAAAAAATACATAAATTTTAGGTTTGATTAACCATTTTTCTCTCAGACTGATATACATACATTGGATTATTTAAAATAAATAAAAACTATTTAGAGTTGTTTTTTTGTTGATAAAGTTGTTTTGTGTGCCATAGGTTAAAGATTATGTTGTTTGTCCAATTATTTTATCATAATTTCTCGAGTGACTTACAAATCGATATTTTCCTTTTGACATTCACCAGGACATAGTTCAATTGTTTTTAGATTTATCCAAGTTTCTGTTACTGACATCTTACTATTACTATGAATGCGATTTTTTAGATGGACGGATGAATATTTGTTTGAAGCTATCTCTGGAACTTTCATGGATATTGTTGAAATTCGGCATATATGTAGAACATAGTTTGGAAGAACACATAGGCTACTCATTATTTTTTTTTAATTCTCGCGGACAAAGTCGCATGCAACAGCTAGTAGTCTATAAAATTACATAAACTCTTCAACCAACGGTTTACAAAATTACTTAACAGCGTCGACTTTATTCTTATGTTATTTTAGAGTTTAAAAAAAATATACATTTCAACTTTCTCCTCAAAATTCTCTAGAGGGAAATATAAAGTACAATGCAGACACAGAGGGAGGGTGCATATTTGATTATTTTAATATTAACGCAGGCTTTGAGGGAGACATACTTTATATAAGAAACGCCAATAGCTTAACAGTTAAGGGTAGTCGAGGATTCGATTACCGAAATATTGCTGTAAACCATATAAACACAAGCTGAGAACTCAGCTGATATAATACAACAATTATTAGTAAATCAGCTGTCGCCCGTGACTCCACCCGCCCGGAATTAAAAAAAAAACTTAATTAATAGTAGTGTTCTTCCAGACTATGCTCTACATTTCATGGAGATTCATTAAGTCGTTTAGGAGTTATCTTGGCACAAGCATCCATCCATCTAAACATTCGCTTTTAAAAAATAATGTACATCATCTTCATTTTCTTTAAAAGGATATATCACAACATGATTTTGTACAGATGTAACAACAGTGGAAACTCAAGGTTACAAACAGAAATTAATACATAGTATAGGTAAATAGAAATAAATTATTTTTATTGTTCATTGAATCGTACATAAAAGGCAATTGGCATTAAAAGTAAAAAGCAATTTAGCGCTTCCACTTGCCAGCGTAGCAATAAAGTTGTAGGAAACTGTGGGAAGTGCTTGCCCGCAAATTACCGGAATATTCTTTTAGTTGTGTTAATGTATAGTTTAACTTGGCGCCCCTTAATGAACATTGTTCTCTTTGAAACTTTCTCTTCTTTTTATTTTGTTTCCTTATGCTTCTTTAATAGTAATGAACTGACGTTGACGTCCAAGAGAAAATATGATCGCTAACCGTGGGTTCTGAGATCATCGTCCATGCGAAATATCTACTATTACAGTGGTAGAGCCTAATTGGCCAGGCTCGCCCGGTAAAATACCACGACCACACAGAACGCAGGCATGAAGTGAAAGCAATTCCGCGTTTCGTCTGATGAGTGTGCGTCCTTGAGGCCTAATTTAGTCCTCTTTCTCCCACCTTTTTATTATAAGGACAGGATGGGAAGTGGAAGTGGACTTTCCGGATGAGAGGATGCATCAAAAGGGAATACATTTTCTTTCTGTGCATCCTCTTCTCCGTCGATTAAAGATAGGCAACGCATATGCAATTTCGTAACATAACGTTAACATAATCTTCAAGACAAAACAGAGGTAATAATATGTGTCTATATTTCATGTTCTACAATAATTTTATAAGTACTATTATGTCTTATATAACGGTAAACTAATGTCCTATCAAATAGATAAATGGGGTGATTTTAGAAGGAAAGTTATTGGGACCTATTTGCCAAAAATAGCGGCGTGAAAATGCGTGTCCCTCAAACAAACGATAATGATGCGCCATCTGTCTAAATTCGATTATTTTTCTTGAAAGGGATTCTAAATTATACTTCGAATTTCAACTAAATAGGTCAGTATTATATTATTGATCTTAAAATTCAACGTTTATGAAAAAACATTGTGCAATTATGTTTTCTCTTGGACACTTTTAGTAGCTAAGCTATCCGGCTCGAAGGATGAAATGTTAGAAAGATAAAATAAATTTCACTTTTTTCTAAATTAAACGTGTATTGTTGAATATGAACAGAAAAAGACAAAGAATAAAATTTTTGACATATTTAAAAGTAATAAATTATTTCTTTCTTTTCTATGTGGCCTGACTGAAAGTATTGAAACTCCTTGGACAAATGTATTGTAATTTAAAAATTTAATTTCACGAAAATAACTAATTAATGCGTCTCCATTATTCGTTTCCATTTTTTCATGTTTGACTCTTTTTTTTATAATAATTAGTTAATATGTTTATTTGAATACTGTTATTATTCTGTAACTGTAAGATTATATTTAATACACGTCACCTTTTTAGATAAAACAGTGGTTCATCACTTCAATCATATTTCATCATCATCATCATCAGTTCATACGTCTCTACCGAGGCGCTCGGAGGCTATCCTAAGTTAAGGGTGAATAGACTATGGTCAACCACGCTGGCCAAGGCATATTTCATCTCCATTATTAATTTATTTTTATGAATATACTCAAAAGAATCAATATAGAAATGTACGATATAATAAAAAAAATCCTTTCCATATATCCAATAAAATCTAAGGCGTAATACATAAATTACTGTCCTTTCTCAGCAATAAATGGAAAGGGTTTTACCATGTTTAGGTCGAACAAGTTAAAAGATTATTACGTTTTCGTTCCGTCCTATACCTTTGCAATTAAGAAGCGGTTTTAGTTGCTTAAAAAAAAAACTTAAACCGAAGTGAACTCTGATTTTGGTATAGACTGAGCTTGGATTTGGTATATTCCAGCGGAATATTCAGGACCTATATAACTTGAAGCTTTTGTGGTTTTTACTATTCTACGAGTATTACTACATTCGCAAGAAACGGGATCCTTACCACGATTAAGCGCCCATTTTTACTGATTACCAAGTGTGCCCAAAAAATCGGGAGCTCGGTCCTAACGAATGTTATTTAGGACCTAGATTTTTTTGACGCACTCCAAAAAAATAATAATATTGCATATGCGTTGCTTATTGACAACACATTAAACGCATATGACTATAATATTGCTACCTACAGGCTTCTTATAATATTTAATGACCCAAAGATACAATCGCTACGTCTTATTATTTGTACCAAATACCTAAAAGAGGTCAGCGGCTTATGGGCTAGGTAATATGACATAAATTTTGAGAACAGTGTCGCCATACTCTGGTAAGTTCAGAGTAATGTCAGTGCACAATCGGCAGCTTTAAGCGAAACTTTTTTGTGTTTGGATTGAATCTTTTACAAATCAAAATTATACCTAC